CCAACCCCTCTGTACTGACGCGGGAGGGAAAATAGCTGCTGGGCTTGTGTTGGTAAAGGGGGTTGCGGCAGACAAAGCGATTGCCTTGATCCTGCCCGTGGACTGACGGTGCAGCCGTGCGTAACCTCATGCAATTAACTGTCCTGCCTTTGCAGACCAGAATCCAGCAGTAGAGGAGGCGGAAGATGACCGCGATAAACCAAAGCTGCTGGATAAGGAGGAGATGGAGCAGCCCCAGATCAAGGTGCCCATGGAGGTACCCAAGAGAGAAGAGGAGAGAGGAAAGCCGGAGGAGAAAGTGCAGCTTGACCGTCCCGATCAAGGTAACGAGGAACCTGGGGAAAGGGTGCCAGCTTTGGAGCTGGTGCAGGACTATTTTAGATAAGGATCCTGATCTCTGCTTGGTATGTCGTGGACTGAAGGTGATTTAGTATTTGATGCTCTTGAGGTGCGTTAGAGTCATAGAATTATTTAGGTTGGAAAAGACCTTTAAGATCATCAAGTCCAACCATTAAAAAAGCAGCCTCCTAACGAGGAAGGACAGGCAGGGCTGAAAAAGGGCAGCAGGTAGGTGGGTGCTGGGTGTGCTGTGAACCTCCTGCCCGTTCCTTTCTCCCATCGGTCTCAAGCCCCCTAACCCTGCCTGTCGCCCGCCCTAGGGATTGCCCTGCCTGTGGGGGAAGCACATCGCCACGAGCCACCCGTCCCGCACGACGAAGTGGTCGTGGACATGGGGCGGGAGCGGGAGGAATCCGATGAGAACAAGCTTGTGCCCGGAGGAGCCAACGATCGCCTGCTCAAGCCAGCGCTGGAGGAGCCAGCCGTGCTGAATCCCCAGAAAGAGGCACTTGGCCCGAAACAAGGGAAGGAAGCGCTCACTGAGAACCAACTGCGGGGAGGGACTGACAAACCCGTTAAGAATCCGAAGAACGTCCTGGAGGTGATCGTGCAGCAGGATGGCAGGCCGCCATACAAAGAGCTGCAGCCAGACAAACAAGCGCTGGAAGCCAAGGCACAAGCTGCCGTGCCGGACGGTGAGAAGAGAGCTGAGGCCGCAGGTGACAGGGAGAAATCAAAGCTCCAGCTCCCCAGGAAAGCAGAGGAGGCTGCGGAGAAGGAAGGAGACCCTGGTAAGCTCCCTCCACGGTGGCTCGTGTGAGCAAACTCTCCTGGTGGCCTGTAATCTGCCCCGCTGACTGGGCAATGGGGTTATTCCTACCTATATCCCAGCGTTGCCTTTTAATTTCGCAAGATTAGCACGTGAGCATGCACAGCCCCTTCAGCAGCTGTTGGGGAAAAGGAGGAATCTGGTGGCTTTGACAGCTACTATAATATCTGTCAAACAGTTGTTTGCTAGCCTACTAAATGTCAGGTGCCATGCTGTTCCTGCGCGTCTCCGAACTCACTGGGGACACGGAGCCGGGAGATCTTGACAGGTAACACATTGCTAAGTGCCCGTCTAAAAGCTAGTTAGAACCGTTCTTGCATTTTAATTGGCTGAGGTAGTTAGCGCTGGCTCGCTGCCACAAGTCTATAAGATTGTTAAATATTTTTTTTTATTACTTCCCTTGCAGTCATCGGGATGAATATAAACTGTGCCGGCTTAGGCAGGGAGGGACAACACGATGTGGAGTCATTTTAGAGAACATCTGCTGCTGGAGCATCCTTATTGACTGCGAAGGTCTGTCGATCTGTTCGTCCGCAGGTGAAAAGCAGGAGCTGCCCCTCCCGGACAGAGCGGATCAGCTGGAGTCGAAGGAGACCCGAAACACTGAGGAGAAGCAACAGGAGAACGCGGAGAGCAAGCTGGAGGGTGAGCGTGCGTCCCTGGGGTGCGCGGGGAGCCGAAGGCGCTGAGCTCCCCCTGGGAGCTGGGGCTGCGAGCGCAGGATTTCTCTCTGCAGGAGGATGGTGCCAACCAGTGCTGTTCTTGGCTCTCGCCAGCACATAGCTTTAGGCCATCGTCACCTCCGCGACGGCAGCAATTAGTGCCTGTCTCCGGCGGGCTCACGCCTGCGGCGCAGGCTGGCTCTTCCACGGCGCAGCCCCTGGCAGGGCCGCTCGAGGACGTGAGTCACGCTGGCACTCGGGCCCGGCTGCTCCCCGGCTTCGGCGGCTCGAGCGCAGGCGGTGCTGCCTCGGCAAGAGCGAGACCGGAGTGAAACCGTTTGGTTGGTGTGAAACAGGGGGGACCCAGCAGCCTTGGCGCTGGTCGGGTGCGGTGGGCCCTTCCTCAGGCTGAGCTCGTTGCCTTTCACCTCTGCCTCGTGAGAGGGATTGGAACCCAAATTCGGTCTTGCAGCCAGTGCGTGGTGGGGTCTTGTGGCTCTTTGCCTTCGTTCTGGTCTGGAGGTGATGGGCGTTTGGTCCGATGAGCGATGGCAGCGGACGGGCTCTGCCGCTGCTGAGCGTATCGTCCTCTTTGTTTGGTGGTCACAGCTTGGTTTTGTAATTCATTTCTTTCCGTTCTGCACTGCAATGGGACTTTAAAAAGCGAGCGTAAAAAGCTGGTGGTGGGTAAGGACTATGAGGACTCTTCACGTTTCAAAGAGGATGAAGGGACCTGACTTTCCGTGGGTTTTTCCAGCTCAGTCTGTGTGGGACTTGCCGGGGATGCTGTCCCATGAGGATGTCACCAAAAGGTGCTCTGGGCTCGTTGTGCTCCTCTGCTCTGAGCTGAGTGTCGTTCCCAGAGGCTGGGAGAGGGTGGAAAGGGGGAAAAGGCACCGTGGGAGCAAGACGGAGGGTGTGCAGCTCCGCAGATGCTCTCTGCAGACGGCTGCCCCACTGGGGCCGTCGCTGAGTGCTCCGGCCGTAGCTGCCCCGGGCCCTGTGAACTCAGGTACTTTTGGTTTAGAATTGTTTAAGATGCTTTTTATGAAGAGTGCCTGTTAAACCCCAGCCAGAGCGCTGGCTGAAGCCTGCTTTCCCCGAGATCAAAGGACGTGCCGGGAGTTAGCGTCACCTTTTGTTTGTGTGGAAGAGGTGTGCTGCACAAACACAGGCGTTACACGTGTTTGCAGAGCTCTCCATGAGAAACGCTTTGATTTGGCATTAAACCTTTGCCTGCTGCGGTTCAACCCAAACATTCCCATGCCGAGCTGGGACCTGGCAAGCTCGGAGAGCGAGATAGTAGAAATGACTTCTGTTTTCATTGTTTATTCTGAGCAAAGTGCGAAAAATAAACAGATCTCGAGAAGTCAATTGCACTCTTGAAAGGAGCGCATTCCCCGTGGCAGCCCAGCTCGCTGCACCAGGAGTGGAAGGGGAATTCCAGGGGCCCTCGGCTAATAGCGCCATAATGTGAACTGGAAATATTTCTCTGTAATCACCTTGTGGGTGATTAGCGGGACAGGGGGAGGCAGTGCGTGCTGGAGAAGGATTAACCTGGACAGCATCCCTTTTTAATTTAAATGGCATTTTACAGGCTATTAATTTTGACATTATTTCCTTTGGGGCATAATAGTCTAGAAACCCCTCGAGTATCAGAGGAACGCTGCTTGTTGATGTGGGAGGGAAACCACACACAGGTTCATGCTCTCCAGATACGATACGGTACGGTACGTCTGGGTGTCCGTCCAGGCAGAGAAAAGGCAGCGACGTTTCCGTGCAGACCTGGGGCTCATAGTTTGGGCGTGATGTGTCGCTCGCAGTGAGTGAATCAACGTGAGTCACTTCTGCTTGCCCTGAAATGCACTCATCTGTTTGGTGTGACTCCGCGGCTGCGAAGGGCCGGTGGGCAGGGATTTCCTCCTCTTCCGTGGCGCGGGGAGCTCGGTTTTATTGCATTGGCGGCTCGTCGCAGCGGGCGGTGGGACTGCCTTTCTGCACCGCTGTGGTTTCAACCTGCCTGACCACCTGCGCTGCTGCAGGTGAGAGTCCTCGGCCGTTAAACCCTTGGTTGCTGCTCAAGATCCCACCCTTTCACCGTGCTCAAAGCCAAAATCTTTGGCAGGATTGTTCAGTGGGTGTTTTCCTGCTGTGGGCCAGGCTAGACGTTCACCTGGCTAAGCCGGGAGAAGAGACAACAGTGGCCTCTCATCACTCTGGCCGTAACCCAGGACTTGCCCCCTAAAAAGACCCAGCTCAGCATCCGTACCTGACGTGTTGGGTCAATGTTTCCTTGTTGGTTTATCCCACCGTGTGGGTGGTTCCCCTCTGAGAGCAGCTCCTGGTGCTGTCCCTTAGCTGACTTCTTCCAGTTCCTCCTAAGATTGCTCATTTGCTGTTTCTGGTCTTTCTGGGCTTGGTTTAGCTGGGATGAAGTCTTTGCAGTGCGTTCAGAGAGACGATCTGCGTTTGGGAAGCCTGGCTGATCTTGAGGGCTGAGCTGCAGCAGCGCTGGGGCTTCCCCAGGCACCGCAGGCAGCTTTAAGAGCAGCTCGTCTCACTCGGGCAGCCGAGCCCCTCGCTCTCCACCGACTGCTGCCAGCCCTGGCTTCTTCCAGCTCCTGTGCCAAGCAGCTGCCTCATCCTTCCCTGCGCTGGGACCCCAGCAGACCTGCTCCCCTGTACCTCTTCCTCATGGTTCTTCTGCCTGAGCAGTTAAGGATGAGAGCTTGGTTTTGATCCCTCCACCCAAATCTTCTTGGGGGGCCGGTGCCCTGTGTGCTTGCGAGCTGCTAGTCTGGGCTTTTGGCTGCCGTCCTCGGGGGAGGTATGCCGGAGCGGTGCTGCCATGATCCCCGCCAGCGCCAGCAGCAGAGCTGTGCCGCGTCCTTCCCTCCCTCCTGGCGAACGGGCGGTGTTTACAGAGTGGGACCTTCCTGCCGAGGAAAGCCTCTGCAGCCCCTTCAGTGCTGCGAGATGATTAGGGAACAGTTTGAGTCATGGATTATCTTCTTTTCTTATTTTTTCCCTTTTCTAGAAGCAGGGCAGGCGAAACTGCTCGATCATGCTATGCTGCTGCAGGTGATCAAAGAACAGCAGGTACAGCACAAGCAGCTACTTGACCAGCAGGCAAAACTGTTGGCTGTCATTGAAGAGCAGCACAAGGAGATCCACCAGCAAAGGCAGGAGGAGGGAGGAGAGGAGAAGCCAAAGCAAGGTAAGGACATCGCCAAAGAGCGTGACCCCTCCACGGGCTGATGACTGCTCAAAGCAGCTTTAAAATCGGTCTGGGAGAGATCCGAGTCCCTTTGGCACATGGCAGACTCCACTCTGCAAAAGCCATTCCTGCGTCTGACCCTGACCTCCGAGGTGGGGATCCCCGGCCCCTGATGGCGAGGATAACGCTCTCCCCCCACGGCTCTCCTTGTTTTCCCGTGTGGCTGTCGGTGTGATCTCTCCTCCTGTCCCCTGTTGTGCAGAACAGGGTGTCGGGAGAAGGGAATCTCGTAAGAAAAAGCTTTTACGTGTTGGTTTTTGTTCTGCAGCGGAAATGCAGCAGGAGCCCGCTGTGCCTCTCTCCAAGAGCAGGGAGGACGAGGGCCCTGGAACTAAGCAAGAAGCTGCTGCGAAGCCGCTCAGCAAAGAGCTGTTGGAGCACCCTGCGCAGGGCCTGGGCAGGCGGCCTGCTGACCCCGTGGAGCAGCGCAGGGGCACTGCAGGAAAGCTGGAAGAGGCTGGGCACAGGCGGGAGATTCCTGGGGTTCCTCCCAAGGAGCGGAAGGTGCCGCCACAGAATGACAGAGCTGTTAAAAATCCTGTGGAGAACCAGGATCCCCTTCATGGGGATGCCCAACACATTCCAGCAGTCAGAAACCACCTAGAAAAGAAGCCCTTGGCGGAGGATTTAGGAGGAGATCGTGAAGCCAAAGCTGGAAGAGACGTCCATGAGAAGAATTCCCTGAAAGCTGTGGAAGTAGCTACAGCTCCCATCCAAAGAGAACAGCTGGGGGCTGCCAAAGTTCAGGGAGTAGCAGGAAAGAGTCTGGAAAGAGACTCAGGAATAGACCTTAAAGCCAAAGCACTGAGTCAGGTGGAGCCCAAAAACCTGGCAGTTGCGCTGGACTCCTCCAGTAAAAGGAACGTGGCAGAGAGCGAGCAGCACCTACGGGAGCGTCAGAGAGCAGCAGAGACAGAGGGAGGTGAGGGTGCTGGCAGCCGGCAGCAAGCCTCGCAGAGGGACCCGGCTGGCAAAGGGGACGTAAAGGAAGAAGCTTCTCGGGAGAACGTGGTGGACGTGGCCCAGGACCCGCAGGGAGGTCTGCGGAGCAAGCAGAGGCACCGGGACGGAGGTCTCTCAAATGATGCTGAGAAGAAACCAGGCCCTGAGAACGCTCCTGCCCAAAAGCCTGAGAAAGGAGCGGCTGCCCAGGGGGACCAGAAGCTGGACCGTGATGTCAAACCAAACCGGGACCTGAAACTGCAGGCGGACCTGGACCTCCGCCGGAGGAGACGGGACCTGCTGCCTCCTGAGGAGGAGGAGGCGGCTGCACAGGGGGCGGGGGTCTTCATTGGCCTCAACCCCCTTCCAGATGTGAAAGTAAACGACCTCCGGAGTGCTCTAGAGACACGATTAAACCAAGTTGTGGAGGGGGCTCAGCAGGTGGTCCACAGCCGGCAGATCAAGCAGATGACGCAGGCGGACGTGTGAGCAGGGTGGTCGCGCTCGGTGGGTGGCTGCGGGTGTTGGCCACAGGCACGAGGCTGAGGAGCTCCGCAGGGAAGGTTCGAGTTAACCAGCTGTTTTTTTGGCCACCGTTGCACAGGCAGCGGTTGGTCTAAGCCAGCAGCGCTTTGCTGGACGCAGTGCTTGCACCCACAGGATCCCCTTGGACCTGCGAGCACCGTCCAGGGCACCGTGAGCTTCTCAAGTCTGCAACCAGTAGCCCTGCAGGTGGCCAAGGAGATGGCAACCGTGAAAGAAAAACTCCCGCTGTCCTCTGGCTTTCAGAGGTTGCCATCTACCTTGGCTCCCTGCCAGGCCAGCTTTCAAGGACCTTTTTCAACATCTCCTTCATATCGAATTGCCTTCTCCATCCGGCTCTCGACTCCCCTTTCAGAACCGAGGTGGTCCTCTGCGAGGTTCCCCTGCCTGCATGGAAAGGCTTCCCTGGCGCCTGCCTTGGGTGCCTTTGCCCAGGCTCTGCGGGGCTTCGGGGCAGAGGTCTGGGGCTGCGGGAGGAGGGGAACTGGGGCTCGCACACCTCGGGAAAGGCTTTATTCGGGAGAAGCATCAAGTCGTGAGTTGAGGACCAGCTTAGCCAATTGCTTTGGTGTTTCTCTTGAAATGGGAGCTGTTAGTCTTGCATGTTTAGGAGATAATTGTGGTTTAGGAACTAGTTTAGTAGAAACGCTGCCTTAAACGGGCACAACTGCTGCTGTTGTGCTGCCTCTACTCCCAGGGATTTAATTGGTTGGCCACACACTAGCAATAACTCGGAGCTTTGCTCTCACCACCCTCCCCGGATGCTCAACTCTCGTCTGTGCTCTCAAGCTCGACTTCTCCTGTCCAAAGTGCAGTATGAAGCTCAACCCCGGGGGCTGCAGACTGCCCCCTCCCCCAAACCAGCTTGATTTTTCTGCAAGAGGTGACTAATTTGGGAACAAAAGACGTGGCTTAAAAGGGCAGACTGGGGGGGCTTGGCCCAAGCATACCTACCTCTTCTCTCTGTAATGCGGTGGAGCATGTTTGTTTTGTGCGTTCTTCCCAGCCCCCCTCTGCGCTGTGTTTTACATCCATAGATGTCAGTACTCCGCCCCTGGAAATGTATTTTATGAGCGAGGAAGGGAAGAGCTTCCATGAGAGCCCTGGTTCGTTTCAGGCTCCCAGACAGTGATTCATCCTTTTGTTTTTTGGTTGGGTTTTTTTTGTTGTTTTGTTTTTACATCCTGACTTGCGAATGTAAGAAATCAAATCCCAAAGCTCTCACTAGAATGGCTGAAATTTCCCAGCCTGCAGTCTACAGACCTCATCACTGTGGTGTTTTTTATATCCGTATCTCGAAGTGTCTTTGGTAAACTGGCCTCGTTGAGTTTGTGTCCGATGGGACCTCGCAGAGCCAGGGACGGGTTATATCGGACATGTGGGACTGTCACACCGGCTCTGGTTACTCGGGAATTCTGCTGCCGCCTGCCTGGGACGTGTGCCTGTTGCTTGAAGGATGTCATCGTAATTTCTCATTAAAATGACACAGAGCCACAGGGCAACAGCCACGTATTCAGGCGTACTTCTTCAGGAGGACCACCCTTGCTACTTCCCCGTGAGTGTCATGGCCTTAACCCTCAGGACTGCCCCCCCAGTACAAGTGAGCTTCTCCATTCCGCTGTCTTAAAGCACAAGCAACGCGGCCGGGAGTCCTGGAGCCACCCCGCAGCCGTCCCGTGTACGTGTGTGTCAGGGCAGGGACAGCAGTGGGCTCCAGAGCACGGCTCCATGTCTGCAGTGGGGAGACGGGACCAGGCCTTGTCCCCTGCGGCACCAACCAGCTTTTCTAAAGTGAGCGGGAGCTGGAGCAGGACCTGGAGTTCCGTTCCCCTTCTTGCCCTTTGCTGCCTGCCAGGGGCCGTCGCGGGCAGCGAGGGCAGGATGAAGGCAGGCTCCTGCCCCGTGGGGTCAGACCTGCCCTTGTTTGTTGGCGTTGAGTTGTCTGCGTGGACGCAAAGGACCAAAGATGCTCCTGACATTCCTCAGCGGCTGGGAATAGCGGGGCCCTGGGCACCCCCAAGCCAGGCTGGAAGGCGGCAGGAGCTGTGTCGCCTCTTACTGGGGTGGAGAGACCGGAGGGGAGGCTGAGCTGATCAATTA